TCCATTCCATTGTCGGTATGTTCCATTCCATTGTCGGTATGTTCCATCCCATTGTCGGTATGTTCCATCCCATTGTCGGTATGTTCCATTCCATTGTCGGTATGTTCCATTCCATTGTCGGTATGTTCCATCCCATTGTCGGCATGTTCCATTCCATTGTTGGTATGTTCCATTCCATTGTTGGTATGTTCTATTTCATTGCTTGGCAGAACAGAACTTAAACATTGCTAAAAACAAACGCAAAATCAAGCAAAATAGAAAGCTTCAACCTTGTGTCCGTTCTTTAGGAATGTTTATATTTGATATTATGACTGTTCATTATATTTGATATTTCTTGTTAGTTGATTTCTACTGTGTGGAAGGCAGAATCTATTATCTGAATCTACATCTATAAATGCGTTTAGAAAAATCCTTGCATCTGTAAACTCTTGATGACCATAAAATGTATTAATTGTTATCACATTCTATCACTCTTTCGTGTCATTCTTTCCCACTACAAATTTCTATTTCCACATTTATTATGGAATAAGCCCTTTATAAACTTACCACACACTCCTGTCAGCACCTCGGTGTGATGACTTTCGATTCCTTGGCCTATGCTGCAATGAACTTTCAACCAACCCTCTACATTCTGCTTTCATAATTGGCCTGTTTTCCTTTATATCAAACCAAATTACAGTATGCAAATGAGAGCAGAATATTTCCTTTTTAAGTAGGAATTGAATTTTTTCGTTTGTCATGGGATGTGGGCACAATGGCTAGGCCATCACGTGTTGCTCAAGCCTCAATACCTTTGAGAAGGTGGTGATGAGCCACATTTTTGAACCACTACAGTCAGTGTGGCATGGGTGCATCCACAGTGCTTGTTAGAAAGTAAGATCAAGAATCTTGACTCTATGACTGTGAAGAAACGGTGAACTAATTCCAAATCAGGAAGTTGGGCAGCTTCTTTCCATACTCTAAGCTTTTCTGTCTGAATTGCTTATATCTTTGGAGTTCAAGCTTTTTAAATTCCATCTTCTTTTGCATTGGTCTCATTTTTCTTTCTTACAATTCAAGTTTTCTAATCGCTATTTCCCATTCCACTGCTCTTCCCGCTCAAGCTTTTAAAAATTTTCTTCCTTACTAAGTTAAGTCTTTTCATTTATCTGTGTGTATGTCTTTTTTAAACATTTCTAACTGTACCATAGCTAATTCTAGTTGTGGTGACTCAATTTCGGATTTCTCATTCTAAATTTTGGATAATATTTTTAAGCATCTCCTTCTTACAAGATCCTATTTTTATTTCTACTGTCAATTTATCCTGTAACTCATCCAATTTCAAATAATCCACTGTTACTACACTTCTACTTTATTTACTTCCAAAAATCTCTCGCAAAATTCAATGTTGTTTTCAAAATCAATGCAATATACTTCCTTCACAATCTCCTTTCATGTCCACAACCTGCATTTTTAAAAGAAGCTCAGATTCAATTTTAAATTCAATGAACTCAGGTCCTAGCAATGATCCCTTTTGTCATGATCCCAACTGATGTTACCACTGGACAAGTCAGATCCCTGAATGAAATCTGACGTGAAAGATCATACTTTGTATTTATTTTTAATTTACCATGACCATCGTTCACTGAAACATATGCACACCAGACTGCAGGCTCATTTTTAACAATAACACGTAAATTTATTATACAAAATAAATTTAAGAGAAAATAAAGCAAACCAAGCTATCTAAATAGAACACAGTCTGAAAGATTTCAAAACACATTCTCAACAGTATCACTTCACAAGTAATTAAAATCCAGAGCTCAGTCAATAGTTTGAATGAGCATGAGGCCGGGCAGGTTTGACTTAGATGCATCTTCTCAGGCTCCTGTCCTATGAGTGTGAAGAAGCCTTTTCCTTGAATATTCTCACAACTGAGAGCTTAGACTTTCCTAGTCTTCTAATAATCTGCAGAGTTCTAACCAAACATTCCTGGTCTGGTAGTTTCACAATCCACACACTTTCATTGAAGTAACTCTTTTTTTAGAATCCCTACAATGTGGAAACAGGGCCTTCGGCCCAACAAGTCCACACTGAACCTCAGAACATCCCACCCAGACTCATCCCTCTGTAACCCACCTAATCTACACATCCCTCTGGGCAAGTTACTTAACCACTCTGAAGAATCACCTTTGATAGAGACAATACTTGCTCTAACCCCAGTCAAGACTCCTTCAAACTGAACTAGAAAGCCTTTTTAACAAACTAACTAATGGTTTAATGTGTTATCTGTCTCCTGTCATAAACCACCACAATATAAACAAACTTCCATTAACATACCAGGGGTTCTTAGTGGGGCTAATACCTAGTGGACAATACCTCTCCCAGGCTCCAGTTAAGCAGATCTGACATTGATGCTTTTGCACTTTGTTGAAAGAAGTTTTGCTTTGTTCTTGGACAGGATTTAACAAATGTAGTGTCAGGAACGGGGGCTGCAGCCATCTCTGTCTCCCACGCCCCGGTGGTATCACGTGCGCGTGTCCGACAGGAATCCAGATGAAAAATGATGGGAGAACCTGTGACAATGCTCCCGAGACGTATCTCCTCTTTTCTAGTCGTGGCAGCATTCGCAGAATTTCTTTGGACACAACTGATTACACAGATGTGCACGTTCCAGTTCCTGAGTTGCATAATGTCATTTCCCTGGATTATGACAGTGTGGAGATGAAGGTTTATTATACAGATGTCTACCTAGATGTGATCAGGTAAGGATACAGCATTGCTAGTGAACTACAATTTAATGTCATTTTAAACATGGGGGCAATGAATGACTGGTGTTGTTTGCTCAAGCCTTGAACTAGAAAAATTAATTTCAAAGAATGAGAGATGATCTTGTTGAAACAAATAAAATACTTAATTGCATACATCCAGTCTATCCCTTTAGGATAGTTGGAGAGTTTAAAACCAGGGAGTACAATTTAAAAATAAAGCTGGTGGGGGGAATGCAGCTTAAGTCTAAGATGAGAACAAATTATTTTACTCTGTGAACTGTTGGAATTCTGTTGCGCAGAGGGCTGTGGAAGTTCAGTCTTTGAGTATGTTTAAGGTGGACATTGGTTAAAAAAAACAGAAGAACTGGACGCTGGAAATCAGAAACAAAAATTGCTGGAAAAGCTCAGCAGGTCTGGCAGCATCTGTGGAGAGAAATCAGAGTCAATGTTTTGGGTCCAGTGACCCTTCCACTGATTAATACATTTTTGATTACTATTGGCGTAAACTGCAATAGGGTGCATAAAAGGCATTGAAGTGTTAAATCAGCCTTGATCATATTGAATGGTAGGGCAGGCTGAATGGGCTGGATGGCCTGCTAATGCTCCTAATAATTGACTTTGCCTCCAGTTCTCACCCTTACCCTGTGTTGACACAGTCCATCCCTAATCCCTTCCTACCTGTGCTTCTCTGACACCATTTTACAGTCACTGAATACTACAGTCCGCTGAGAAGTTACCCAGTGAGGGTTAGAAGCTGCTTCCTAAAAGGGAAACCAGTGGAAGCGGAGCCCAGATCCTTTACATACCCATGGCAGATGGTCACATGGCAATGTTGTTCGAATCTTGCACAGCTACTCAGCAGTTAATGTTGGATTATAAACTATTGAAATGATGTGAATATATGCCACTGGGTCTGAAAGGGTCTCTCAGCTAGTAAGCTACAATAATCAAACACTGAAGGTTACCATCTACAAAAGAAAAATACTGGGTCAGAGAATTGTGTTACTTTGTTGCTTAATGGACCAGGATTTCTATTTCATTCCTGATAATGTTTGAAGATTTTATCTGGTGAATGCGTGAGCCACAAAGATTACCATGGTCTTGGGTTTAAACCCTGCACAGCTGTCAGGTTTCAACTGAGCAGAGAGTTAGCATTTGACCAAGTTGCCTCTGGATTAAGGAAAGAAAAATGAACTAAGCCTCTGGCTTCTGTCCACCTTCTGGTAATGCAGAGGCAGCACAGTGGCTCAGTGGTTACCACTACTGCCTCACAGGCCCAGGGACCTGGATTCGATTCCACCCTCGGGCAATTGTCTGTGTGGAGTTTGCACTTAGTCTCTGTGGGTTTCCTCCTGGTGCTCTAATTTCCTGCTACAGTACAAAGATGTGCAGGTTAGATGGATTGACCATGCTAAATTCCCCATAGTGTCCAGGGATGTACAGGCTAGGGGGATTAGACATTGGGAAATGCAGGGTGACAGGGCCTGAGTCGGATGGTATTTGGAGGGTCGGTGTGGACTTGATGGGCTGAATGGCCTGCTTCCACACTGTAGGGATTCTATGATTCCAGATAGGGCAGTTAAGGTGCCAGACCAGAGAAACTGGCTGTTCTGAAGAAAGCTCACTGGACCTGAAATATTATCTCTGCTTTCTTTCCACAGATGTCGCTAGACCTCCGGAGTTTTCCCAGCAATTTATGTGTTTATTATGTTAACCTTCCGGATTGCCTTTGCACCATCCTTTAATGATTTACATACTGGACACCAAAATCTCTTTGCCTTCTCTTAGCTTCTGGTTTTGTAAAGTAAAACTTCGCTTTTTGTCTCATCAGAAGTGCCAATCTGAATGGCAGTGGCATGATGACAGTCATTGGCCAGGGTTTAAAAACAACTGATGGTTTGGCCATTGACTGGGTAGCAAGGAACCTCTACTGGACAGACACTGGCAGGAACACGATTGAAGTATCTTGGCTCGATGGAAGCTGCCGGAAGGTACTAATCAACAACAGCCTGGATGAACCAAGAGCAATTGCTGTATTTCCTAGGAAAGGGTAAGTAATTTTTCTTTGCAGAGCCAGAAGCCAGTTCAGGCTTCACATTTTTGGATAAGGTTCATATTTTGTATATGTCACTTTCCACAGAACTGTAATAAATCAACATCTACCTATTTTTGAAAGTGCAATAAAATTCAACACCATAAAAATTAGGTAAAGAGCACATCAATTCTAGAAGTGTCTATATGGTGTATTTTTCCATGACCTACCTAGAATTTAAATTAAACATGTTGAATTCTCAAATGTGCCTACAACCAAATGTGCTAACTAAAGATGAGCCAGTAACAATTTCAGAGCCAGAAGTACAAGTTAATACTCTGGCCTGGGTTCACATCCCACCATGGGCAGCTGTGTCATTTGTATTCAGTTGATACAATCAGGGGACTGAAGATTAGTCAATAATCGATTATTGTAAAATCCCAGTAGGTTGATGAAATAACTCCACAGATGCCGGTAGCCAATCACCAAGTCACCCTTTATTTACATGTGGAGAGTCCATGACAGATCCAGCTCTCAGTGAGCAGAATGTCCAACACTCCTGTTTTAATCTGTCAGCCTGGGCTCCCTGATTGGACCAAATTAACAGCCCCAATCAGGGAACTCATATTCTAAGAGGTCCACCTGACTGACCTCGTTACAATCACTACATTTCAATCATACACTGTAAGGAAGGAAATGTGACATATGACCTATTTGTGACCAAGAGTAATGTGGTTGACTCCTAAATGCCCTCTGCATGGATCTAGCAAGCCTCTCAGTTCAAAGGGCAATTGGGGATGGGCAACAAATGCTGCCCTTGACAATAACAACCATTTCCCATGAAAGAATTTTTAAAATTCTGAGATTGTTGATACTAGACATTTAGTGTTTCTTGCAAAAGTATACAAATAAATTAGCATTACAGCAAAACTTTCTTCATAGATTCCCTACAGTGTGGAAACAGGCCCTTCGGCCCAACAAGTCCACACCAACCCTCATAGCATCCCACCCAGACCCATCCCCCTATTTAGCCATCTAATCCACTCATCCCTGAATGCTACGGGCAATTTAGCACGGCCAATCCACTGAGCCTGCACATCTTTGGAATGTGGGAGGAAACCGGAGCAAACCCACGCAGAATGTGCAAACTCCACACAGACAGTCACCTGAGGGTGGAATCGAACCCAGGACCCTGGTGCTGTGAGGCTGCAGTGCTAACCACTGAGCCACCGTGCCGCCAACTTAGGTGAGATGGAATTGGGCTAGGTAGACATTTTGTTTTAAATGAAAAATAAACATACACATCAGAGGTTCAGAAGACTTTTCTTCATCCTTCAATCTGTCCAAAGCCAATTTAAAAGTAAGAAGATCTGTACTTGACGGAAGACATTTTACAGCGAAACATGTCCTACCTATTCTACAGAAGTTGTCCTTCTTCCTAGGCCTCTGTCTTAGACTTCTTTCAGTAGTACTCAGAACAAAGATGAAAAATCATTCTTCATTCCCTGATCCAGGTTAACAATGAGAGTTAATAAGAATACTGTTAATAAGAGTAACACACACCAATTCTAGGTAATCTATGCAGAATGCATCACCACATCGTTGACCTGAAGTACTAGAACATTGAGAAAGCGGTGTTTCATGAGTTAACATACTTCTTCAGATCAAATAGTTTAGCTGTGGAATTTAAAAAGTTAAATTTTAAAATGTCGATATTTTTCTTGTATTCTGATAGGTATCTGTTCTGGACAGACTGGGGAAATCTTGCCAAAATCGAGCGTGCGCAGTTGGATGGTACAGATCGGAAAGTTCTCATTAATACAGATTTGGGTTGGCCAAATGGGCTAACCTTAGATTATGACTCAAGAAGGTGAGCTGAGAAAGAGCAGAAAATATGTAAAATAGCCATCAGATAATCAGTGTATAAGGGCCATGAGAGATGAGAAATGTAATTAACGATCACGGATTCAGAAGGAAAGCCTAGTACTATCCTGGCAAGCAACCAGGAATCTCCTTTACTAACATCTTAAGGTTAACTCGAACTGTCAGTGTTAAGGCAAGTGACAACCCCGATTGTCTTTGACAGTGATTTGTTGCGCACTACTATTAGATAGAAAATAATTCCTCTTTGTGCTAAATTTTTTACTGAATGACATTCATGCTACAAGCTGCTGGGAAGTAGTTAGGTGGTACTTTCTCATTGATGCCAAATTCGGGATTATGAACAGTCCTCTCTGCCCTGTCCTTGTTCTCCATTTCCTCATCTTTCTCTTTGTGTTGTTCTCTCCTCCACTCTCCACATACACTTGCCTCTCTCTCCCCTCCTGTCCTCTCCCACATCTCCACTCCATTGTCTCCACTGTTTTGTCTCTGCACTGTCACCTCTTGTATATGCTCACTCCTTGCTGATTTACTGTTTCCTCTCTCTCCCCGTATGTGAATAGGAAGAGTTTAGAGGGATATGGGTGTAATGCTGGATAATGGGACTAGATTAGTTTAGAATATCTGATCAGCATGGAAAAATTGGACTGAAGGTTCTCTTTCCATGTTGTAGAGCTCTATGACTCTTCCCTGTCTTTCCGTACTCTCTCTCTCTCTCTCTCTGCTGTCAGACATAAGTATATGTACATATTAAACAATCTGCACGATAATTTTAATGAATGCAAATCTTTCCTGACAGGATCTACTGGGTGGATGCTCACTTAGATAGAATTGAGAGTTGTGATTTGAATGGAAAACTGCGCCAAGTTCTGGTTGGCCAAGTCATACATCCCTTTGCCTTAACTCAGGTAAGGCAATTAGCAATTATTCAAAATCTGTAAATACAAACACAAATGTGTAATAATAACAGTAATAAGGGTTCGATTCCACCCTCGGGCGACTGTCTGTGTGGAGTTTGCACATTCTCCCAGTGTCTGCGTGGGTTTCCTCCAGGTGCTCCGGTTTCCTCCCACAGTTCAAAGATGTGGAGGTTAGGTGGATTGGCCCTGCTAAATTGCCCACATCATCAAGGTGGATTAGCCACAGGAAATAGAGGGTTATAGGAGTAGGGTAGGAGAGGGGTCTGGGTGGAATGCCCTTCAGAAAGTCGGTGTGACTTGGGCCGAATGGCCTGCTTCCACACTGTGGGGATTCCATGATTCCAATTAAACATATGATGACACTTGGGGAGAGTGTCTGAACTCAAACATGACAATACAAATGCCTGCAATTTAAACAGCAATTCACTCCAAGACGCATATTTAGTCCAACCCTTCACTAGTGATATAAGACAAAGTGAAATATTGAACAACCAATGATTTGTGCCATCACATGCTGATAATATTTACACATTTAAGCTCTTACTCTCTTGTTATAGCTTGTTGACTTTTCTGGAAGTAGTTGGCACTCTGTCATTATTGTAGAAGTCTTAGGCATGTATGTATTCCCATTATCATTGATGAATGAATGGAAAACTTGGAGTTTGCCTGTGAATTCCTGATGCGTACTCTTGGCACACGGTAATTCCTGCCAGGAGCGCACATGCATTAACTTGATCCTTGTAGGCATGTATGTATCAATCCCGCTCGGTTACTCAAAGTACGTTGTGTGAGAGGAGAATCTCTGTAAGGATCCCCTGATCTTCCAAGATCCTTCAGTGGAAGTCCAATTGAAAAATGGTTGTACATTTTCTCATGACATTCCATCTCCTTTGGAAGATAACCAAGAAAACCCGTAAAATTCCGATGACATTTTCTAAATTAAGAAAATGTTTTTCTTCTTTGTTATATGTGCTTTCAGAAGATGTATGTCATAATTTTAGCTGTGTTTATTTTAACAGATTTTATGAGAGATTACTGTTCTATCTCTGGAGCAAACAAAAATAGAACATGTGAGCTTTTCTCACCACTGAGTGGGCTCTGTAACTTTATGATGACTTTGGATATAACACTGCCATCCGGTGGAGAAACTGAGAATAGCTAATTATGGCAATTATTACACAGTGGATTAAAGTTTTAGATTTTATTTATAATGCTCTTTCATTATTCCTGGTGTCACCTAGATTCCAAAATCAGAGGCTAATTGGTCTAACTTTTGTCATCTTTTGGGAAGATGCTAGAAACTATTATTAAGGCTGTGTCTTATATCACTAGTGAAGGGTTGGACTACATATGTGTTTTGGAGTGAATTGCTGTTTAAATTGCAGGCATTTGTATTGTCATGTTTGAGTTCAGACACTCTCCCCAAGTGTCATCATATGTTTATCATAACTTGTCTGCACTGACCAGACATCCCAATCTGACCAAGTCCCATTTGCCAGCATTTGGCCCATATCCCTCTAAACCCTTCCTATTCTTATACCCATCCAGATGCCTTTTAAATGTTGTAATTGTACCCTACTCTACTATGTCCTTTGACAGTTCATTCCATACATGCACCACCCTCTGTTAAAAAGTACCTTTTAAATCCTTCCCCTCTCTTAAACCTATATCCTCTAGTTTGGATTCACCCACCCTAGAAAAAAGATGTCGGCTATTCACCTTATCCATGCCCTCATGATTTTATAAACCTCTCTAAGGTCACCCCTCAGCCTTCGAAGCTCCAGGAGGAAAAAAATGCAGCCTATTCAGCCTCTTTGTGTAGCACAAATCCTCCAACCCTGGCAACATCCTTGTAATTTTTTGTGCACCCTCTCAAGTTTAACAACATCCTTACTAATAGAAGGTGACCAGAATTGTATGTAGTAGTCTTTTCTTCGAGGTCATTTCTGTGCTGTATGACTATATGGCTCTATGACTCTATAACCAGAATTAACATTGTTTTGTGAAAGGAAATTGTGAGAAACTTAGATTTCATTGAGGATGTAACAAGCAGGCTGGACAAGAGGGAACCAGTAAATGTAGTGTATTTGGATTTCCAAAAGGCCTTCGATAAGAATGTATGGGGTGTCAGCAGTATGTGTGCAACAGCAGAAATGAGCCAGGTCTGGCTGAGCAGCTCTCCAGATGTGAATGATGCTCAGTAACTTAATTGTGGCTTCACATATATCTATGTTTGTAAGCAGGGTTTTTTTTGTCAGATAAGATGCATTTCCCAGTATAAACATAAATTGTGTTTAAAATAAATGTTTTGGACAACTTTAAATTACATGTATGTAAAATCTAAAATAATTATTTTCATATCTAGCATGATCGTTGGATTTACTGGACAGACTGGCAAACTAAATCAGTCCAGCGTGTGGACAAATACACAGGCCGGAACAAGGAAACCATCCTTGCTAACGTGGAGGGACTGATGGACATTATTGTGGTCAGCCCACAAAGGCAAACAGGTATAGAAAGAACAAAAAAGGATTGGACTGAAAAGGATTTGGACACTAATTGTTTTTGTACCAGGCCACTTAGTGAGTACCTGGGATCTAAGTGAACAGGGCAAGCAACTGTGCAACAATCAGATTGAAGGACTGGGAAATTAACAGTGATCACTCCGACTGAAGGAGTGGGAACTTAAAAGGAGGGAGGAGGAAGTGCAAATCAGAGGAGCTTAATCCTGGTACAGGAAAAGAAATACAGGGAAGGGAAAAAAGCTTGATCAACAAGACCGAAGTAAAAGCTCAGGAAAAACCTCCGACGTTTTACTACTTTTAAAAAAAACCTTCAGCAACATTTAATATCTGAAGGATTGATTTAGTTGATTTTTAGCACCAGAGATGTTGACTAGTGATAATTAATTACTGATTATTACTTATAATTTTCTTAAAGGATGGTCCAGTTAGATCAAAAGTGTTGAAGACCTAAATTTCAGTGGCGGGTTTAGTCTATATCCACACATTCCAATACAGGAACTTTATATAAGTAAATACTTGTAAATGTTGAGAGTCAGTGAGTGGAATGACATATTCACAAAGCTAATAGTAGAGCAACACAACTTGGCCAGCAATGTTTGGAGGTTTTCATTTTAACTGTGCATCTGCCTCCTGCTGATACTAGTGTACCTTTTGACCATCAATAATGTTGACCAACATCGGCCTCATTGATACTGGCTGAAAATTAGGCCCCATGTTTGCAACTGTGACAGGGTTTACTTTATCAGATTTCTGATCTAAAGCTAGATACATCAGTAGATGTTTTGTTGATTGCTGCTTTGCCTTTAGGTATGAAACTGTTCATTTAATATGCATTGAAAAACATCAATACATTCCAAAAATGATCACTTAGACATGATATCCATCGTATTCGCCTTGAGTATATTGCATTGCTTCTCCCTCCCTACCTGAACTCAAGTGTAAAAACCATGTAGTAAAACAGCCATGACTGAATCATTCATTTCTATTCATTTTCTGGATGTTGGGGCATCTTCCCTTTACACCCCCTAGTGGATACTGTGGAAAGGACGTGACTCCAAACTTTACTTTAAATAATTGATTGAATTTGTTTCAGGTACCAACTCATGTGGTATGAATAATGGAGGATGCACACATCTTTGCTTTGCCAGGGCAACAGACTTTGTGTGTGACTGCCCAGATGAGCCAGATGGACGACTGTGCTCTGTGGGTAGGTAACATTCTTAATGCCACAAATATTGTGTTTGCCTGTGCTTTTCAATTCTCATAGTTTAAAGACAGAAAACACACTCTTAAATGCCCATTTTAAAAAAACAGATCAACCATGGAGCTTTCCAGCTACAAATATTATGCATCTTAAGATTTTATTTTGTATATTTAAGGGAGTGAATTTAAAATAGGTATTTAAATTCTGTGCCAATTCAGAAGGACTCTTACTTGAAAATGTCACCATTCTGTGGGCATAATCATCCTGATTCTTCCTAATCATGTGTAGATACTGTATAATTTTTTAATTCATGTCCTGCATCAAATTGATCTAGTGGTGCAGTTGGCAGTGCCCACTCTGAGCTAGAAGCTCCTGGTTTGTGTCCCACTGCAGGACCCGATGGCCACAGAAGGTACGTTCATAACGCTATGACTCTCATCTTTTCCTTGGCATACAGGCCTCCGAGATCCATGTGTAGCATGGGCTTCCAAAAGCAAAATTCAATGTGTCGGCATGCCAATCGACATTTGCAGAACATTGGATAAGCTAACGTTGTTGCCACAATCACTTGGACTGCCCAACCAAGCTGTAGTATCAACAACACATTGCATCGCAGAACAGCTAACGGTCAAACAGAGTTAACTCCAGCCTATGCATTGCTATTGCTTTACTTTGTCAGCACTTGCAAGGAGCTAAGTGGAATTGTGAAAATACTTGCCCCTGTGGCTTTGTCCAGAGAGGTTTTTCTCTCTTGACTATCTGGTCAGTTTGGATTAAATATTTATTTCCTCTGTATTGCCTGGTAATCTAAAAACCACGCATCCACATTCCTAGAACTGTGGAAAGTGGAAATTTTCCCATTGGAGGCAAGAAGCAGATGGCCTGAATAATTCCAATGCCATTACCTCACCTATGTCCTGGCAAACGGGACTTTAATCTGGGAGGGAGGGAAGGCCTGGTATGGAGGTGGGCTGATGCTGAAGGAGCCAGGTTAGAAGGCCTGCTCCCATCCCCAGAAATACCACCCCAGTTCCTCATTGCCATTAGCGGTTCCTCCAAATAAAGTCAAACTTGCAGATTGGAATAAAGGCCCTTTGACCTTTCACACCCTCCCTTCATCTCTCTCTATCCCGTTCACTCCCCACTTAACCTTTCAATCTCATTCCATCATTCCTTTCTCTCAGGTCTGTTCTTCATACAAGCTCAGGCAAGGCTTGTATGTTTCTTTTAAATAATGTCTATTAACAATAGAAATATGATGATAAGGCAGCGGTGCTCCTTGCTGTGAGCTGAACTAATTCCAGTCTTCTAGCAGAGTCTCTAACACATGACAAGTGAGATCATACTCTGATTGCAACATGCCTCAGAAAATCATTTACACATTCATTAAATAATATCTTTACGTTGCTATGCCTTCAAATTCTACTTTACAAACGGAACTATCAAGCTTTAAAGTAACATGTTAGAAGTCATTGAAAGATCAGAAATCTTTCAAATAGGTTCTAAAAGCCAATTATCCTCCAAATCTCTCAAAGCCGTCAACCTGCCATTCTCTATGGTGCTTAAATAAACAAATATTGCATTTGAAAGCCCATTGTTACTTAGATGGTAGCCAAGCCATCAAACTGACATTCCCCAGGGCAACTGAATAAACAGACTGCATTGCAGGATCTATTGTACTTTTGAAGACAGCCAGAGCTCAAATCCAGAAATTTTAAACAGTCAGGCAGGCTTGTCTGGCCTGTATGGAATGAATGAAAGCTCTTGCAACTCTCAAAGCTTTTACAAAGCCAAACAGATGGCTGAGCCAATCTACAATCTACAAAGAATATCATGGGGAGAGTTTGAATTAGCTCTCGATCTGAAACTGAATTAACCTTTCAATGTTGTATAATACAGATTCCCAGTTTTTTGAGTGTATAATCAGTTTTAATACATCTGAATGCCTTTGCATTTTTCTCTGTGCTGTTCTTTTACATGACAGAATCTAGCAACTACATTATTTAATGGTCAATACAATCAGTTCTGATATAACACGATAGTTCTGTTCTCTTGCAATCTTGCCTTATAATAAAATCGCGCAATAGCTGCGCCATTTAAACAAATGGGGCCGGAATCATGTTATAGCCAATACAGGTAAGGAAAGTTCGTGTTTTCAAATTGTGGTTTAAATTCTTCAATCGCGTTAAAGCCAATTCATGTTGAAGAAATGCGCATTATAGCAGAACTGACTGTACATTACATTGTCCAATCATAGCACTATTATCATCAGTTACTTTAGTAAACAACGGTACAACTCAGGTTACAGTGTTTCATAATGAACTGTAAAAGAGGCAATCCCATTTTTAAACGAAAAGAGAAATAGCTGGAAAACTCAGCAGGTCCATTTTTATTTGCCTTTTGTACATTTCACACCTTCAATCCTTTATGCATGCCTCCACTCTGCAGGTGTGATTTGTTCAAATTCCAGAAATTCTAAAATATCCATTTTCAGAAAGCACTGGCAACTTCCAAAGATAATGTGGGGTTCTGGTTGTGTCCCCTTTCACGTACTGGTCAAAGTGGATGGAGATAGGATGGGACCTCTGCTTTCATGTGTCAGTAGGTTTTCTTAATCAGGGCTCCATTTGGTTCTGGTTCACGATCTGCGAACGTATGCTAGTGTTTTCCATTAGTTTCTTATAATTTTTTAATGGGGATTTCCTTTAAACCCTGCCTCTTTTCCAAATTTCCAAACTATTGTGCCTGCTTCCAACAGCTGAGCAGTTCCTCCCCGCTATTGTATTGAAGGGCAGCGCTAGCCACGGTAGCTAACCTGTCTGTTTGTCCCTTGTAGAATCACAAGAATACTACAGTAGCCTGTTGCCGTTCAGGTTTGTGCCATCCATAGTCCAATACCATTCACCTGTTCATTCCCTGTGCCTTCAGTGTTCTCCATTGTACTGTCTTTAGACAAATTGTAGGGTCTATGTGTGAATTGTAGGGAATGTGCGTCTCTCTCACACATTTACATGCACATGCACGTGCACACACTCCCTCACTCAAATTCGTCTTCATCTTTTGGAAAGAATCTCTTTATTTGGCACCACATTAAGATAGATTGGTTCAGATCAGGAGTTAATTATTTGGAACGAAAGATGCTGAGCATTATTTACAAACTGCATGGATGCTCCTGTGGGTGAAGGTAATGTTTTGCTATTTAAACATAATTTTAATGTGATTGATAAATATAATTCTTTGCAGTTCCTGGATATGTGCCTCCGTTTCCAGAAACCACCCACTCCAGTGAGAAAGCTGATGCTGGAGGCCCACGCAGGAACATTGACTTTTTCCCTGCAAAGCCCACAGATCCTGTTGAGAACATAAATGAGAAGTAAGTCTGCAGATTGTAGCCTTTGATATGTAACACCTTCAGCTTGATCCAGGGAGCCTTTGATTTTATTCAAGTTAACCTGGAGGCAATTTATAAAGGCCGCCCGCTGATCATCATGGGTCTGCTCACGTTGCCTTCACTCGGGGCATTTATTACAAACTAGATTACTGCAGAAATATCAAGCAGTCTTGCTTTCCATTTGACAGTTGAGCAATACATAAATGTAATTCACTCATGATTACTGCAAAGGGAGCTTTGTTTTGGGCCAGACAAAATCCCCTCAAAATATATAAAGAAGATCGCCTATACCCTAATTTTTTCTTACTTTAAAGGCAAGTGCCAGGCGTTGCATTCCAGATGCAATTTGATTGGTCAAACTACCAAATTTGAAGCAAAACACCCTTTTTTCGTACACTATAGTTAAAATGCAACAAAAAGAAGAATTGGAATAACTTAGCTGTATGGGAAAACTTAACAGAATAATAGATTGTTTAACTATTAAACAGTCGCTGTTCCAATATAATAACATCCCAGAAACACATCCTTAGCAAAGGCAAATTCAATAAAATATATTGTCTCACGTGCACTTCTCCAGCCCAGGATGGAAAACTCAGAGATAGTAGCAGGGAGAGATAGAGAGATAGTAGCAGGGAGAGATAGAGAGATAGTAGCAGGGAGAGATGCACTGCAGCTTCCAAGTCCAGCTTCAAGACCCAGGAACTGCTATTGAAAAACTCAAACTAAAAAGCTTGGCTCTGGGGGAGCTTGACTACACCCATTCGAACTTAAAAAAAATCCAAGGCGTCACAAGCTGTTTACTTTATTGGATCAAAAAGATGCCTCCACATCTCTGTCTTAAAACCTCTCTTCAAAATAAAGGACAAAATACACTTCTTAAAGTCATAGTACTGTCACTGTTTGTAGTCTTCTAGCCTAAGGAAAAAATGGTAGATTGCAAATAATAGAGAGTTGCCCAGTATGAAATGGCAATATGTTGAAATAAATCTCCTCAAATTTCATTTGGAAATTAAAAATGGAGTACTTTGTTGGTTTATGTTTGCGATTTAGCTGAAGTATAGCATTGCAGAATTTCACTCCAGTTGTACTACTGTGATCCTGTCAGTGCAATTGTCACAGCAATTCTGGGAAACCTCTACAATAGAGATCAAAAGAATAAAAAAGGTTTGCACCTATGGTGCTGGAAGCTAAGCAGTGAATGGACTCTCTCTCGAATGTTTGAGACACATTGTTAAAGTCTGTGGATTTCATATTATGACAACCAATATTGATCACAAACCAGGATCTTATTCACTGTCAGATAAGAGTGGTGTTTGGCAGTAAGAAGGGAGTATGCTAAGAGATGAAATATATGCTATAATTTATATATACCCAGAAAGTGTTCTTTTAGATCACGGATACTGGCTTTTGCAAGCACCAGAAAGACTCAGAATGCCTCCTGGCAGCAGTGCAAGTTCTTCTTCCCTTCTTGAGAAAAGTAATTCAGCAAAATTGTTAAAAACACCATAAATCCAAACTGAATCCTGGACTCAGTAAGCAGATTTGTGCCACACCAAAAAACTGAAATAATGTTACTGCTGTGAATATTAGTGACACTGAGCTAATGCAGTAGCTATAAGTGTTAAGAGTGTTTGTCGTGCATTGCTGTTGCAGATATGTTCTCATTGGCAACGTAAAAATTTTTAGAAGTATATTTAAAAAGAAGACCTGCTTTGCCCTCAAGGAGAGTGGGATCTTATAAATTATCCAAGAGCCGCAGGTATCACAGATGCTATTTCCATCTCTGTGATTTAAAATGAAAATATTGACCGTTGTGATTTTAACAATTATCTTTGGTACCAGGAGTCCAAGACATTTCTAAAGAGACGTTAAATTGTAATTAGATCTTCCAAATTTGCCTGCAGTACATTGCATACTCTCCCGCTGGCTCACGTGATAAAGCTATACCTGACAGAAAAACAGACCAATATGATTGATGATCATTCTTTTCCTGTTTCAAGCTGATTTCAGTTGAATGTACAATTCACATGGTCAGAAGTCACACAACATCAGATTATAGCCCAACAAGTTTATTTGAACTCACAAGCTTTCGAAGCACTGCTCCTTTTCAAGTGATGAAGGAGCAGTGCTCTAAAAGCTTATGAGTTCAAATAAACCTGTTGGACTAGAACCTGGTGTTGTGTGACTTCTGACTATGTCCACCCCAGTCCAACATCGGCACCTCCACATCATAATAGGTTCCAGCTCACAGTTGCTGAACTAGTATGTGAAGGAACTGAAGGTCTGCTGTGACATCTAAAGCAGTGTGATAACCTGCTGGTAATTGCAGGCAAGGGTCAAATTTGAGCAAGAAAATAGGCTATGAGATAATAAGGTGTAGAGCTGGATGAACACAGCAGGCCAAGCAGCATCAGAGGAGCAGAAAGGCTGACGTTTCGGGCCTAGACCCTTCTTCAGCAATGGGGGAGGGGAAGGGGGTTCTGAAATAAATAGGGAGAGAGGGGGAGGCGGATAGATGGATAGAGGAGAAGATAGGTGGAGAGGGGACAGACAGGTCAAAGAGGCGGGGATGGAGCCAGTAAAGGTGAGTGTAGGTGGGGAGGTAGGGAGGAGATAGGTCAGTCCAGGGAGGACGGACAGGTCAAGGGGGCGGGATGAGGTTAGTAGGTAGGAGATGGGGGTGGGGCTTGAGGTGGGAGGAGCGGATAGGTGGGAGGAAGGACGAGCTGAGCTGGTTTTGGGATGCGGTGGGGGAGGGGAGATTTTGAAGCTTGTGAAGTCCACATTGATACCATTGGGCTGCAGGGTTCCCAAGCGGAATATGAGTTGCTGTTCCTGTAACCTTCGGGTGGCATCGTTGCAGCACTGCAGGAGGCCCAGGATGGACATGTCGTCTGAGGAATGGGAGGGGGAGTTGAAATGGTTTGCGACTGGGAGGTGCAGTTGTTTAGTGCGAACCGAGCGTAGGTGTTCTGCAAAGCAGCCCCCAAGCCTCCGCTTGGTCTCCCCAGTGTAGAGGAGGCCACAACAGGAACAGCGGATGCAGTATACCACGTATGCAGGTGAACATCTGCTTGATGTGCAAAGTCTTCTTGGGGCCTGAGATGGGGGTGAGGGGGGAGGTGTAGGGGAAAAGAAGCGGAGGGCCTTTAGGCCATCTGTATGGGGAAGCAGGTGTATAGGGACTGGACGTCCATGGTAAAGATGAGGTACAGATGACCTAAAGGCCCTCCGCTTCTTCCTGTCCCGCAGGCCCGACCAGTCCCCCTCCACTGATACCCTCATCCGCTTAGCCGAACTCGTCCTCACCCTCAACAACTTCTTTTTCAATTCCTCCCACTTCCTACAGACAAAGGGGGCGGCCATGGGTACCCACATGGGCCCAAGCTATGCCTGCCTCTTTGTAGGTTACGTGGAACAATCCCTCTTCCGTACCTACACTGGCCCTAAACCCCACCTCTTCCTCCGTTACATTGATAACTGTATCGGCGCCACTTCGTGCTCCCACGAGGAGCTCGAACAGTTCATCCACTTCACCAACACCTTTCACCCCAACCTTAAGTTCACCTGGACCATCTCTAATACCTCTCTCTCCTTCCTGGACTGACCTATCTCCTCCCTAACTCCCCACCTACACTCACCTTTATTGGCTGCATCCCTGCCTCTTTGACCTGTCTGTCTCCTCTCCACCTATCTTCTTCTCTATCCATCTTCTATCCGCCTCCCCCCCTCCCTATTTATTTCAGAACCCCCTTCCCCTCCCCCATTTCTGAAGAAGGGTCTAGGCCCAAAACGTCAGCCTTCCTGCTCCTCTGATGCTGCTTGGCCTGCTGTGTTCATCCAGCTCTACACCTTGTTATCTCAGATTCTCCAGCTTCTGCAGTTCCTGCTATCTCCGAATATAAATAGGCTGTTTGCTAGCTGTATAACCCTCTTTGGTAAGCTCAGTTCAACAAATAGTGAAGAGAATGAAATTCCGTTATGTTATTATTGTATTATGGAAGTTGCATGACATGTGTTAGATCATTGCAGATATTTCAATGTTATTTTAATATTCTAAAAGATTATGTAACTATCATAGATGAATGATTTGAATGTGTGATCAATCACTTTATGGAACCATAATCCTCATCCTAAACTGTTAATGGTGCAAGACTGGTGCCAATCGAAGTATTGAGTTTTACAGCATGTTTCATGTCAATTGCTGAATAGAATGTCTTTGTCTCTAGCTGTTCTCAGAAAGATACAAGTCAAGGTCTCTGCGAGGAGAGTGTAAACGAAGTGTTGCCTGCGATAAGTGGTATGTTTTCTGCAATCTGACATGAGGCTGAAAAGATCTTTTCTGATAAACAGTGATTATTTCCCATTTTTTAGAATTCTGTTCTGGGGATACGGACACTTCTAGGCTGGCCATTGCTTATTGCCTGTCCTTATTTGCTTTTGCAAAGCATGTTGATGAGGAATCTTGAACTGCTACAGTCCATGTGGTGAAAGTACTTCCCCAAAGCCTTCGGATAGAGAGGTCCAAGATCGTGGGCCTACTGATGTTGATGGATAACAATTAGCATTTATAAAGCACTATTTTACATTGTGAAACACCCTGAAACCCTTCATGAACTTGATTACCGGTTGATTGGGCTGAGTCTTCCTCATCTTGTCTATAGCACAGATACCACAGTCAAGGCCGGATTGAGCCCTTAAATGGTCATTAACCAAACTGAATTTGGGCGAGGTGCAAAGGGATGTCCCACTGCCGCCTTATGAAGTTGTCCTCCTCCATATTGGCTCAACACCTCTGAAACTAGAAGATTATGACCATAATTTCTGTCTTTCATTTGGCACTATTTCATTAGCTTTAAACCGTTTTATCTCTGGTTGGTGGGTTTTGAAACAACTTAAAATGCCATCTAATCCCTCTGCCCATCCATCTCCTTATTGAGTGAGCAGGATGCTGCTAATCCTACCCAGTGACCTGTCTGAATGCCTTTAAAGTGAGATTAAAGGTACTTTTTTTTATATATTAAAAACCTAGTTGTTTAGCATTTAGTTCTTTTCTCAACCAGACCACTAGGTGGAGTACCTTACCACTGGAGAATGAGTGAGTGAATTTGCCAGAGACAAAGAACGTAATTTCACAGCATTGATTGAGTTTAGATTAAAACCATAATCTGATTCAATATATCTTATTCATGACAATGTATCTCACTCATAACAATACAGAGTTCTGAAGCAGGTAGCTGAGGAGATTGCAGGAGGATTGGTGGTGATCCTTCAGGAACCACTGGAGTCAGGGAGCGTCCCAGAGGACTGGAAAATGGCTAATGTAATACCCTGTTTAAGAATGGAGGGAGGCAGAAAACAGAAAGCTACAGGCCACTTAGCCTGATCTTTGGTAATATTTTAGAGTCCACTGTTACAGATGAGATTGTGGAGTACTTGGAAGTGCATGGTAAATAGGGCTGAGACAGCAGGTTATGCCTGACAAATATGTTAGAATTCTTTGAGGAGGTAAGGAGCAAGTTTGACGAAGGAGAGACAGTGGATGTGATCTATTTGGATTTTCAGAAGGCCTTTGACAAGGTGCCGCACAGGAGGCTGCTAAATAAGATAAGAGCCCACGTGTGGGGGCAAGGTACTGGTATGGATAGAGGATTGCCTGAATGGCAGAAGGCAGAGAGTAGGGATAAAGGGGTCTTTTTCAGGATGGCAGCCAGTGACTTATTGCATTCCGCAGGAGTCAGTATTGGGACCACAACTATTAATGTAATTCATCGAAGATCTTCATGAAGGGACTGAAGGCATTGTTGCTAAGTTTGCAGATGACACAAAGATAAATGGAGGGACAGGTAGTGTTGAGGAACCAGGGAGGCTGCAGAGGACTTGAACAGGCTTGGAGAGTGGTCAAAGAAGTATCAGGTGGAATACAATGTGGGAAAGTGTGAGGTTATGCACTTTGGCAGGAAGAATAGAGGTGTAGACTATTTTCTAAATGGGAAAGGCTTCAGAAATCTAAAGCACAAAGAGACTGCTGAGGCTGTATAAGATTGATGGAGTTTAGAAGGATGAAGTGCAATCTGATTTTAGTGCTTTATATTATTGATTCCACTGAAAACGTAGAGATCAATTGTGATATGGGTGGGGAAATTCGGGAATAATCAAATTAAAATTCTGAGAATTTTTTTTGCTGTAAGATTATCCTCTCTGTACTTTTTTAGGGGAACGGGTAGCAGTGAGATTTATATTTGCTATGACTACTCCTGATGGCTGTGGGAAGAGTAGGAACTTGAACCCATGTGTTTTGCCAAAGACTTTCTAAACGTGCCTAAGAGGAACTCCAAATCTCTCTTCCAGTCTTTTTGTCGCTGTACAAAACAAACTTACCTCCCTGTTTCCTTGATGCCTTTTCTGACAGTCAGAAACAATCTATGTGGTCAATTATGGGCACAAGCCCAGGTTTAACTAATGAGTAGCATTCTACTGATGCAGAAACCTACAGTGCAGCTAGATTACCTTTATAAAAAGGCAATTCACCTCCTAACCCAACATCTTTGCAATCACAAAATGTCTTGGTGATACCCAGCTGAATTTCTGTAATTATTTACAATATGAACATTGTTACTGTTTCTATCCATGAGTGAACGTTAGTCAAGAAGAAACAAATTAACTATGGTTCCGAGATTACTCTGTTACCTCTAGATTAATCCGCGTTGAACCTTTATAATGCAACTGGAAACTATTTTGACATCTCTGATTTTGTTTTCACAAATTATTCTGCAACAATAACCATTCCACTTAAACTATAGCATCATGTTCATTTCATTTTGACCAACTGCAGGTGAAGGACTGCACATAAGTTACATTGTTGGAGCGGTCTTGTCAATACTGGCAATCCTGATTCTCATAGTTGCAGTCATTATATACAGGTAATGTATTTGTTTCTTCTTCTTTGAAACGTCCTAAATCTCCTGCAATTTTGGACACATTTGTAAGCAGTGCACAATGTAGGTTGTCAAAAACAAAACCGCAGGTCACCCGTTTCACCACCTTATGGTTTAGTGGGTATATAGATTAATTGGTGTAGACCAAGAAGTGCAGTCCGTATTGGAAAGACTGGACATTCTGTCCATTCTGAAATTACCAATGGTGAGCCACCTTCCTGACCCAATGTAGACTTTTAGTGATGGTGTAGTCTGTGTATTAGGTAAATATGATCTAATTGAAATGCCCTTCTCTGATTGATTAATGTGTTAACATACTCTGCTTTGAAGGGATATTTGTATTCACATGAGGCATGCAATTGTTTCAGTTACTGCAGTGCACTACATTAAAAGACCCTTGTTCAGAGAAGATCATATAAGCTGTAAACCTGCAGCAAAATTTAAACAAAAGTAACATACAGTGTTACATACATGGAAGGGAAGGAGTGAGTGTTATTATTTGCTTACCTCTGAGAAATAAGCAGTGATGACTGGTTTTGCATGCATTGAAAACTGGCATGATCATGATTTGATTGAGGGCAGTTCTCAAGCTTTGTATCAGCACCACGGACCAGTGGTGGAAACAAGGCTGTGGATGTTAGAGTGTAAAAGTATGTAAAGTCTCAACACTGAAACAAATGACTCGTGAAAGCATTTATAAACAAAATATATAAATCCTGTTAAACCTAATTACACACTTTTATCATGTCTAATGTTAAGAATTAGAGTTTGACAGAACCTGGTGCTAGTTACACATACGTAAAATTAATACTTCTGTTGGGAGGCCAATAATATAATTTACAAACAGCTCTTTTTGACAAATATGACCCTTGGAATGCGTGATGGTAGCCCAACTCTTTCATGGTGTAGCTGCAGTAATCGCTAATGCTACATTCAGAGAACAGAGGGCATCATATTCCATTGAGCAACATTTTCAAGAGTTCCAGATTAGTTCTTAGTGGAGAGTGGGATCAGAACATCACTAACAGTACAAGCCTAGAACTGGGGTTTTAAAGGCAGAGCTGACATTTTCCGAAACGTGAAGAGCAGACAATGGACAATGACACTGAGTGGAACAGCAAAATGATGATTGCAACAACATAACTTAATTGACTTAAAGTTAGAGTGATTTCAGCTATAGATGATCAAATAACTTATTTTAAATGGAGTGTAATGTTCCAAGCTGACATAGTCCGCTGAGACATCAGTGAGATTCTATTTTTGAATAGTGAGAAGTGGAGTGAGATCTTCTGTTTAAATTTTGAATTAAAAGCAAATTAATATCCATTCCCTCAGTACGAACTGCAATGTTCCCATCCCAGTATGTGTTTTAAATCTGTGATGTCCTTAGAACAGAAGTGTTAGTGAAAATCTAATGCCAGTCGTATGACCATGTTGTAAATTGTTAGGTTTAAAAATGAAGGAGCACGTGCCTCTGACATTTGTGGCAGGCAGCTCCTGAAATATGTTGGGTTTTTTTTGAAGCCAGGAGGTGCTGCAGTCTGCCCACAGAGCACAGAGTGAAATTGTGCATATGCTTCAATGATCTTCTGTTCATTAAAATAACCTGGTGATCGCTAGCTGGGATACACAATGTTCCAGTCTGTTCTTCCAGTATATGGCTGGAATGTCAAAATAGAAACTCTCTCTTATGCTTTCTTCTTGGAAGCCATGAGCAGAATGTTGCATTTTGGGTTGCATCTGTAGTGCTCATACTAAGTGGCTATGTAAAATATCCAAACCACTGTGAAAATCCTTCTTTTATCCAAGTTTAATATCAGATTGCTGCAGCTGGATAATTTCAAATTTCTGGATGAAATCTCTTTCTGCAAACAAATAACTTTCACTTTCTGTTTCTCAGGCATAAAAAATCAAAGTTTAATGATCCAGTTGTGAGCAACCTAACCTACAGCAACCCGTCATACCGTACATCTACACAGGAAGTGAAAATTGAAACTATTCAGAAACCAGCGATATATAATCAGCTCCGATATAAAAAAGAGGTAAAGTCACTAATGCTCTTGATGCTTTTAGGGATAAGTGGACACTGCAGGGTCGAGTGCTTTACCTCCCCTTCCAAATCCAGTTTGATTTAATCCATTCCCTCTCCTTCACTTTTGGTGTTATTGCGTTGCCCTTAACAGGCTTTGCACACAAATTAATTAATTGAAAACATGGATACTTTATTGATAGAGCATAGTAGATTCAAAGGTGATTTGTTGGTTGAAAAAAGCCATTCAGTCATATCAAAAAGGAAAGGAAGAAGTAAAGTGCAGTTAGGATTTCCAATTTTCAGAATCCTCATTTCAAAAAAAGAGTGCAAAGTCAATAGCCAATGTACTGCTCAGGATGCCAGAGTTTCAAAGGGAAACAAAGGAAAGTAAATGAGGAGGTGTTGATGAGAAGTGTTTAGAGTTTTGCCTCAGGAAACCCAAGCTGCTGTGGTGACAGGCATTTTGACAGGAACATTGTACCTGGACCCATGGACAGTGATGGGCAAGGTCCAATCTCTTTCCATTTGATAGCCAACCAGAGTCTTTCCTATTCTTTCTGCCTGTTATTGGCTTGTAATGGAAGAATTTTCAGATTGATTGAGGCACTAGGGAAGCAAAGAAGTTAAAACTGAAGGTCATTATAGTTGGAATGATCAAAGTTAAAAGGTAGATGATAACCATCAAAAACAAAGAACTGCAGATGCTGGAAATCCAAAACAAAAACAGACATTACTCAAACTCAGCAGGTCTGGCAGCATCTGTGGAGAGAAAGCAGAGTTAATGTTTTGGGTCCAGTGACCCTTCCTTGGAATGGACTGTAGTGAGGAAAAGGTTGGTATATAAGCTGAAGATGGGTTTGACAGAGGGAGGAAAGGTAAAGGATAGGTGGAGATGGAGCTCAGTTGGACAGACAAAGGAATAGATAATAGTCAGTGTGGCAGAATGAACAGCTGCTCATGGGGATTGTTAGTGGCTAACAATGGGTTGTTAGTGGCAGCAGCCCATATGATGAGATTTCCTGGTGTGTGTAAAATTATTGAACTCGATATTGTATCAAGAAGGCTGCAGAATTCCCAAGCAGAAAATGAGGTGTTGTCCTTCAAGTTTGCACTGAGTTTTGCTGGAGCACTGCAGCAAGCCTGAGACACAGATGTTGACCAGAGAACAGGTTGGTGTGTTGATGTGGCAGGCAACTGGAAGCTCAACGTCATTTTTGCGGACAGAATGTGGGTGTTGTGCGAAGCAATCGCCCAGTCTACACTTCATCTCCCCAGTGTAGAGGAGACCACATTGTGAGCAGTGAACACAGTCGACTAGATTGAGTGAAGTGCAGGTAAATTGATTCTAGGGCCTTGGATAGTGAGGAGGGAGTTAGTACTTGGCCAGATGTTACACTATCTGTAATTGCATGGAAAGGTGCCATGGGACTGTGGGGAAGTGTTTGGAGCCGAGGAGTGGCCCAAGATGTCCTGGAGGAAAGGGTCCCTATGGAAGGTTGACAAGGGTGGGGAATATGTGTCTGGTGATGGCATCCCTCTGGAGGTGGCAGAAATGGTGGTTTATGATCCTCTGGGTGTGGATGCTGGTGGGATGGTGAGTGAATACCAAGGGGAGCCTATTGCTGTTGTGGGAGGGAAGACAAGGGGTGAGGGCTGGAGTGCAAGATGGTCGGACACACCTGCGGGCCTATCAACCACGGTGGTGGGGAATCCTCAGTTGAGGAAGAAGGTGGACATTTTGGAGCACCCTTGTGGAAGTTGGCATCATTGGAATAGATGTGACAGAGACAAAGAAACTGAGAGAATGGAATAGAGTTTTCACAGGAAGCATGGAGTGAAGATGTATTGCCAGGTAGCTGTAGGAGTCGGTTGGTTTGTAGTGGATATTGGTGATCAGCCTATCCCCAGAAATGGAAACAGATATAAAGGAATGGAAGGGAGGAGTCAAATGGACAAGTTGAAGCTGAGAGCGGGTGAAAATTGGAAGCAAAATTGATTAACTTTCCCAATTCCAGTGAGAGAGGGAAGCAGCACAATGATATTATCGATGCACCTGAAAAAGAGTTGTGGGTGGGGGCCAGAGTAGGACTGGAACAGGGAATGTTCCACATACCCCACAAAGAGACAGGCATAACTGGGCCCATGCAGGTACCTGTCACCAACCTTTGATCTGAAGAATGTGAGAGGAGTTCATAGGGAGGTTATTCAGAGTGAGGACAAGCTCGATCAGGCAGTGGAGGATGTTGATGGTTGGGGACAATTCAGGCCTTTTTGCCAGGAAGAAACAGAGAGCCCTGAAATCATCCTAATGGGGAATGGATGTGTAAAGAGATTGCACCTCCATGCTGGAGAGGAGGTGTTGGGAGTCTGCGAACTGAGGGTAATGATAGCTTGTTGACAGCAATTTTCTTTGAAGATTTGTAAGACCAAGATTTCATTGTTCTGTTAAAGAGTATAGATTGTAATTGCAAACAAAATTAGGTTGTTTGACCTGAAGGACATTGAAGAGTATTGAATAAATTTGCAATATAAGTAGATAAATAATGAGTGAACGTTGACGTTGATTTGAAACTGGAACAGCGAATGAGGGAGGAAAGAGCCCTGACACATCCTTGGACAAGGTAAAAAAGACAGGATGAGCCATCCAATATATTTGGAATGATTTGAGAATGAATCGACAGCCATAAAGACCATGTGATGGTAGAACATTTTAAGAGGTGTATCTGCCTGACATTTCTCATGGAAATAATGTATAGAATCATAGAGATGTACAGCACGGAAACCGACCCTTTGGTCCAATTTGTCCATGTCGACCAGATATCCTAAATAAATCTAGTCCCATTTGCCAGCATTTGACCCATATACCTGTAAACCTTTCCTATTCATGTACCCATCCAGATGCCCTTTAAATGTTGTAATTATATCAGCCTCCACCACTTCCTCTGGCAGCTCATTCCATACACGCACCACCCTCAGAATGAAAAAGTTGTCCCTTAGGCTCCTTTTAAATCCTTTCCCCTCTCACCTTAAAACTATGCCCTCTCGTTTTAGACTCCCCCAGTCTGGAACAAAGACCTTTTCGTTCACTCATGATGCCCCTCATTGTTTTATAAACCTCTATAAGGTCACCCCACAGCCTTCGACGCTCCAGAGAAAATAGCCCCAGTCTATTCAGCCTCTCCCTGTAGCTTAAAACACTTCAACCCTGGCAACACCCTTATAAATCTTTTCTGAACCTTTTCAAGTTTCACAACATTGTTTCTGCAGCAGGGTGACCAGAATTGCACGCAGTATTCCAAAAATGGCCTAACCTCCAATGTCCTGTACTGACCTTGCTGCAACAAAATGTTCAAAACTTGAGGCTTGTCAGATAGGGGGCTGGAATAGCCTGGCTGCTCTAATTGTAACCCTTAAGTGGCCAAAGTTGACTCTTGAAGATGGCATTTGAGGCAGCTGGAAGTCCTGGCAGATTGTCCCTCAAAAGCCCCTGTCTACATCAGGTATCTTGTTCAAGGTCTGCCACCCATAGGTACTCCCTCTGGCCCCACTTCTCCATCAAGACTCCTCATTCCACAACCTCTCACGCCTCACCTCCCTACCTGCTCTGAGACCCCTGCATTTACCGAGTTCTGGATCTGGAAGTTAGCACCTGCGTCCTGCTTGTGCTCCCCATGTCGGTGACTGCTGGGACTGCAGGTTGAGAGGGGGAAGAAAGTCCCACCTCTAGCCAGTTAATGTTCCTCGGAGTATTTAATAGCTGCTGGGCTGTCCTGATTGGTGGGGATGTATTCCTTGCTGCCTGTTTGGATGGTAATAGTAAGGCAGGAAATCCCACCATTCAAAAATTCCTGTCCCACATGTAACAGTTAAATCTGATACAAATAGAAGATGGGACAAACTGTTGCATTGTATTCATCATAAAGTTACAGTTACAAGTGCATTACATCCATCATACCAAACATAATTGATGTATTTTAAGCTGTAACATAGCAACATTTGTTCCCTTTAAAATACACATTTCCCTTTGGGATTCTATAACCACCCCTGATTTGCAATGCAGATTGGTGCTCCTGTGATGCTTTTATACATACTAACTTGAAGTAAAACTTAGCAACCTCTTAGAAACAGTTTCCAAACAGCTAATACAGCCTCCAAAAACCTGACAATCACCCCCTTCCCTCTTAAAAGCCGATAACACTGAAACAAGTAGTTAGATTGGTTTTAAACTTAAGAAATAAGTATGTACAACCTTCTCCTGAATTCTAAAGAAACCAGTGTATAAACTGCTGGGAGCGACATTGCAAATACTGATGGCACAATATTAGTGGCTAATTTCCAGCTGGGTCAAGAATAAACGTCCCTGGTAAATCTTTTTTAAACTTTAACAGTTGAAAATTCTGAATTGTAAACTCTCTAATACATCATAATTCATTGTTTTTACATATAAAAGAGAAAGAAAAAACAACCTGATATTTGACAATGTGTTTCAGAGACCCAGCTGATAAATTAGTCTTTGCAGATCTAACCACAAGCTCCTAGCCCTGCTGAAGACTGCTTCAGAGATGCCTTCTTTCCTTCTGCCTTCACAGATTATTCTGGAACATTTCCCCATGAATTCAGCTTTACTCCATGCCTGCTCCCAACCCAGTTCAAGCTGAAGGTCTTTTACTCTGCCATTGTTGCTGAAACTCATAGCTGCTTAAGTAATCTCAGATCAGCACTGTCACCTTTCATTTCCCCACCCACCCACCCCTCTCTGGTTCTTCCCTTTCCTATTTATGCTGGGTCCTATTTTCCTAACCTCAGTTAAGTCTGACACTCATTCTCTGCTCCCATACTCTGCAGTTTCTGTTCCCTAAATTGTCAGCTACCTCACCCAACAGAAAGCAAATACTTAACCTTCTCTACCTTGCCTCTCCCATTTGTTTCCAAGCCCTTTACATTCCCATCCATACTTTTACTTTTTATCTATTTCCCCCTTCCATGGCCATCCATTCACCCTTCACTACA